CAATTTTGGGGAACGGAGTGCCGATACTTTAAAGCTCATTTAGTGACTCTAGGGATAAAGTGAACTCGGGTGTATTCTTTTCCTCTTCGTCTTCATTGTTTATTAATTTCAATCATATCGAATAATGAACACATTATATCACGCTACGCTTGTGTAAATATTGGTCTTAGATTTATTAGCCTGACCCAGTACTTAAACCATTCAGTTATCGATAGTAAATCTTCCAATATATTTTTTAAATGTGAGGGTAAAAAGACACGGAGATTGATGATGATACAGACGCCAACGCCGCCCTCGGAAATTTTTTGAACATTAGAAATCAGCAGTTTGTCTGCCATCCGCCAGGTAGCGCAACAAAACACCCAAACAGTTTTTAATTGTTTTTAAAATTAGCTAAGCTCTACACCTATTAAGAAACCAAAGCAATATCATTATGAAAATTTAATACATCGCAATGTATATCTATTCCAAACTATAAATGTTATTAAATGCCAATAAATCTCTTTGATGTCCAAAACAGATATGCGTCAAAAACAGGTAAGTTTGAAGGGCTCCTGGAGCGTTATGACTTTGAAAATGAAAAAAAGCCATCGTCCACCTCTTGGGCAACCATTGTAGCTCTAAATGTTATAAAAGATTTTATCATAGTTTAATTATTTCTTCAGCGGCATTTGAACTACCATGACACGAAGCACAGAAAAGTGCTACGTTTGATATAAAATATCTAAACAAAAAAAATTCACACAACATTAAATTTTTTTCTGCATATTACCAATTATAAGCACTACATCTGTAGCTAATTTCATTGCCCTAGCTCTTGTCATTAAAAACATATTTGTGCGGAAAAATGTCAATTTTAGGGCAATATTTGGAGGGATGAAAAAAAGAAAGTAGTGCAAATATCAAAAAAGTGGATCGTTAGATTCTGCTCCGACATCATCTTAACAAAACTGCTATATTGGAACCGCGCTATCTTTAATGGATCGTTCATAAAACATGAACTAGCGGAGCAAGTGAGGGTCCGTGCCATCATATTTGCAACGCTACAAATGCGCATGAACAGTAAAAACCAACACGTACATAATATCAAATGAAAGAGGATTGCATTGCCTTTCAGATGACATCAATCCCACAAAACAGTCTTTAAAAGGAGATGAGTAATGGCCTGCCGAAAAGTACCTAAACTGCCACATTCAGTGGGACCGTGGCCTTAAGCGTACGGCGCGATGCCGACCAATCATCTCCCGAGTTGACAGCCGGAAGTTGCTTGAGGATCGGCTTGCCTAGCTATGTGGCCGGCTGGCTGGCTTGACTCAGGCGCCGAAATGCGAGCTCGCTTGGCGCGTTCGACGGTTTCTTGGCAAACTCTCGCGACTCCAGCAAAACGGACGCCACCAAGCGGGAAAACCGGGAACCAGCCGGTCCAGGTCGCTCCGCGCCCCTCCGCGTCTCTGGTGGCTTTCGCGGACACGTGTTGTCGGCGCGATGGCGAACAGTGTAATTTCACGAAGGTCCGAAAATTTCTTAAGTTTGCCTGAATGTTCATTAGTGTGGTGAAGCCTCAGTAGATTTTTCCCACCCATCACGTATTTGAAAGCCCGCTTACTCCACAACACTCGATCGCGTGCTTTCGATTTCTTGGATGGGGAGGAACCGCGGAAAAACGTTTCGATCTCTTGTCTGTCTCGAATCACTATCAAAGTGACGACTACTTGGTAACTGATAAGGAGTTTCTTTATAAGGATGTAGAACAGTGGGAGGACGACAGACGAGGCATTTCACTGGAGGAACACCAATGTTGCAGTCAAGTGAATGGGAAGGTACGATAATTGGAGCCACCCACGCCGGTCGGTGCGTTGGATATTCATCTTGGCTGCTTTTCGCCGAAAAAGCCTCTGGACCACTCTGAAGGAGTTGGGCTGATTTCGCAATTACTTGATTCAGGAAAACCTGCTCGCTGCAAATGATGAATGAGGGAAATTATCTGTTTTCAAAAGGTGGGAGACGCATCTCGTAGCGTTAGAAGCTGTCACGGCATTATGATCTATCGCGCCTCCAATATTTATATTATACCCCCGTCGAATTAAGCCAGCAGCAATATACGTCTACATTGCTCAGGTTAACCGGCCACAAAAATACTCATTTTATCCGTTCAGGATTTGAAGTCAAGTTCAATGCAGAGAGGCTCTGCGTGAATCTCCAATGAAGGCTCTCTTCAGTTTGTCCGGATTCGTCTCCGTGCTACCGGCTAGAACCATTTGGCTAAGTTTAACTTAGTATCTCTCTGTCTGTCAAATATACTTTTATTGAGCAGTTCACCTGATAGTCGGTTAACTAAGCTCATATTTCAAACCGAAGAATATACTAATATCGCTTTAGTGGGATCATAGTACGTAATATAATACATAACCCGCTCGTCAAAATGACTTCTCGATTGCTACTAAAACCTGAATTGAAATGCGAGTATCAGCTGCTTAGTGGGGTGCCGACGGGTTAACATGCTCCTTGGCTCAAGAAGCGCTTGCTTAATTTCCATAATTTTCCTGCAGCCTGTGTTGTTGACCGAGCAGACGCCTAGAGCTGTTTCTTAAACGCGGATACGCACAAAAGCTCAATTTTGCGGTCACATAAGTGTCCTCGGTCACATAAGCGCGGTCACATAAGTGCCTCGACCATGCAGTCGCATGGTCGAGGCCTGAGAGTTGGCTGAAAATTACTGTCGGTGAAAGAATTCTGCGGTCATTGCAGCTTTCCTTAGATGATCAAAACTGATTAGTATATTATCGTCTCTCCAGAGCCCATAGTTTCGGTTTTGAACGAAATCTCCGCAACGAAAGTCTGACATGAAAAGAACAAAAAACACCGGGAAAATAAAACTATGCTCTGCAAGTTTACGTGCACCGGCTACACTTAACCGTCTCAGTTCAAATACCTGTAAAATTAGGCATTAAACAAAAGAAAATTTGTTAAATTGAACGCGCCACCTGTTCAGGCGGCCCGGCCGAGCCGACGCGACCTGGACTCAGCCGCCATGTTTGCTTGGTGGTGGCGCCCCCTATAGGTCGCTGGAGTCGCGAATATCTCCTCGAAACGACCGATGAACGACTGAGACAGAAAATACCATCTATGTCGCGGGCGATGTAAAAAAAAATCATAAAAGGAAGGGTTTTGAGCAGAGATCTCGGCCGTCCTCCTGCCGGGACTCGTTGGCAACTTGCGATTGCAAGGAACATTTATAAAACAGGCGTTAGCAAATAAGGCTTTTGCGGTTGAGTTATTTTTGTTTCGCCTCCTTTCATGAAAAACGCGAATCGGGCTACACTGCACCAAACGCCGAGGAAACGTTGACGAAAAGCGCCGCGTGTGGTTTGGCCGACCATCCCCTCTTCCATTCTGTGAAAAAATCGCCCACCAAATGCTGTGTTTACGCCCGCTGAAACGCGCGTAAATTCGTCGAGATTACGTCCTATGTGGGTCGGCTGTAAAAACGCTCAGTTCCGGCGCGTTTCTATAGGTTGCGGTCCTGCTCCCCAGTGGCTGAGGCGCGCAACACCCGTGCGCTCCATCCTACGAGGGAGGCGAGGGGCATGGCTTCGCACCGCAACCACCGGGGAGCAGGACCTCGGGCGCAGAGATTCGCTCCGTTAAGAAACCGAAAACGTAAAATGCTGACCCTGTTATGTTTCTAAATAGAGTGGATTTAGTGGTTTTCGAAGACGCTCAGCGAGCTTCTAATTGGAACCATAAGCCTATTTTACGAAATAAAAATTTAATTAACAAATTACACTTAATTAGCCGACTGATCGTTACAATTATTCCTCTATACTATGTCCCCCTAGCCGCATAACTCCTCTGCACAAACCGGATAAGTGTAGCTTTCACGGTTTATTTTCGAACAAAAATGGTAAGCTTAAAAGAGAGAGAGAAAAAAAAAAAGAACACCCTGTACCCAACAGGAGTCGATCGGCGCTCCAAAGGCAGTAAATCGGCTGCACAAGGAAGACGTATTTTCGTATGTTGGTGCAAATTTTGAAATTACTATATGCACGTCTTGTGCATTGACTATAAAGTTAGGTAATATATAATAATAGAGATGCAGTTTAAACTAGTTTACCATTCTGGAACATTATCCAAAAGTCATTAGTTTGATTCTTTCATCTTATTTCAGAAGCAGAGGCGGGAGCGATTTATTTAAAAATCGGAGAGCTTTCATTGATTTTTCTTGGTAGTGACTCTGGAAGAGCGGAAACAATCAGACGCATGAACAGCGCCATCTTGATCAAATGGGCGTGACCATGGGTGGCATGTTCCCTTTTATTTCAAACAAATGGCGGTCGCTGCACTTGATCACAGAGGCAAAACATATCATCAATCAATGACAAACTCGATCACTAAAGGCACTGAAGACAAAGCAAAGACTCTCTAGCATTTGCCTAATTCTGAAGGCGATCCGATTCACCTGTTATGTGTCAAGCTTCTGTCGCTCGGAAATCGAGACGTTCCATTTCGTCGTGAATATGTGAACCTTTGACTATACGACTCACGGCCTCGGTGCCTGGAGAAACTGCGTGCAATTACATTCTCTCTTTGTAATAATTCTGCAATGCTGATTGCGAAATAGGATTTCGCGCCACTTACAGGTCCCTCAACGCGCTGCGGGGCAAGCAGGGTACGAGACAGCACGATCCTCTTTGGCGCCGTCCATCGCGGAGCGAAGCGGAAACAACAAACGGCAGATTTGAGGACCTGGCGTGCACTGGCGGCTCACTTGGCCGAAACTTCCTGATTCGCAGCACTCGACTCTGAGCCTCGATCACTTCGCAAATCCGAGGGGTTAGCCGAACGCGACTTGCAGCACCAGCGCAAAACCAGGCGCCGGGCCCCGGGGCAAAAAGCGGCGGGTTCTTGGTGTGTCGGCGCCGCGTTGGCAAAACAGGCTGTCAAGACCGGGGAGCCAAGACGTGCCCCGTGACGAAAGGGGGGTGAGCGAGTAAGCGCACACCGGCCCATGCGAGCGCGACCCGCGCCGGCGCTTTATTTTTAACCCCTTACGTCGGTGCCGCCTCGTCTATTTCGGTTGGCGGCCCGCGGTCCGTCGGCAGGGATCGGAGGCTTCCTCCGCCATATCAGCGCAGTTGCAGCCTTTCCCCGCAAATTTGAATATTGCATCGCTTTCCACGGCCTCGCGTGCATCCAACGGGCAGCGAAGAACCCGAACTGTGTCCCCCTGGCCGATCGCGCTTCTGTTGCTCCTGCTGCTGCAGCAAGATCTCTCGCCGTCTGAACCGTCGTTCCAAGGCCTCGGGGGAGTGCTCCTGGAGTTCGGGCCCCGCTCGCTGGATACTCGGGCGACTCCGGTGTGAACGCGCTGCTGGTCGGGTGGTGGCCGTGGGTGGTTCGGTTAGGCCTAGTGGAGATGCACCTCATCGGACGCGTGAACCGGCCGGCGGCCAGCTTCCAGGGGTCGGGACGTGCACGGATGCATGGCGGGGCCTAGCCAGGAAGCCGCCCAAAAAGGTGAGCCTCCCTGGGCCTCGCACGGCCGTTGGTCCACACTGCGGCCCGAAGGTCACGCTGGTCTGATGCGGCTGGCACGGCGATCGTGTGCGGTCGACACGCGGAGATGTTTCCGGTTGATCTTGTCCAAGGTGGAAACACCTTCCGACACTTTCTACGTGATGGCCCCGTCTGCTGTCTCCGAGTCGCCTAATGTATGGAGGAAGAGAGGAACCGCTGGTTCCAATTCTGACCTCAGCAGAAAGCGCTGGAATGGCGCGTGCACAAGCTTTGTGAACACATAATGCAATCAGAAAAATTTTTCATATTTGAGCCTTTAGCGTAGACATTGACGAACACTATTCAGAATATCCATACTTGTTTTGCCGAGTGTGTGTTGATGGCAGATCACTCGTTGTTCCCTTTATCACTTCACCTCACCAACTGCCAAGGACACGATCGCATGCATGTATCTTCGATTGGTGCTCCTGCTGCACGAGCGCTCGTGCAAGCGATGCGCCATCAAGCCAGCGAAGTTCATGCATGTGGCCTTTACAAGTGGAACGAGAGACGAAGCATAGTGACCGGTGTTCGGTAAATGGGTGGTTATTTTGTCGCTCAGGGGTATCTTTGAAGTGGCCGTTCAGAAAGAGCACTACGAAGTCCCGTGTTCTGGCGTGACGCTGGGGAAAACGCATTACGAAAGTTCTAGTGCAAAACTCGGCCCATCACCTCCGGCGCGTGATGTCCGCATGGGTCTTTGGATGTGTTCACTTTTCTCTATGTTAAGGTGCAAACACAGATCGGCCACTATGGTCAATGACAGAATGAGAACGGCAGGGAGATCTTTCGGTTGTCCCGCCTCTAGCACGAGCTTCCTGCCTTCGACAGTACTTCGGCGACTCGTAGGCTTCGAGCGTGCAGGCGCGGCCGAAGCACCAACAAATTGCAAGGAGCACGTGCGGAAGGCCGAACATCTGGGCCATGATCCTCACCGAGACGCCGTTTACCTGCCATGTAACGAGCTTCGTAGCGGCATGTAAACAAAATAACGGTCACGTTGCCTTTATTGACAAAATACATGGGAAATGGAATACCAGCGTGATTTCGTTAGCTTCAATCTCCAGTTCTGTCGAAAAGGTAACGCGCAGCAGTACCCCCCCCCCCCCCCCCTCCCCCGGGAAAATGGACAGTCTACGCCGCTGGGCCTTTCCAAAGAAGGGCTAGCGGTTCCATTTGCAGTGCTCGTGCGTATGGCGCGTGATTTGCTCGCTTTCAGAAGCGTCGAGCATGCGCGTGATGGGCTGAGGCGATCGCACGCTGGGCTGAAGACTTGTAAATATTGCGACGGTGTATAGTCTCCAACGCACTTTGAAAAGCAAATGGTCACCTCGCCAGGGAAAGCTGTAATCCCAGTGCGGTGTGCAGTGCACGTGTGCTCGGAGTCCAAGGGGGTCGATGACCTTGTAACCGCCACCCATGCACCTGCCTGCGTGGTGACGTGAGACTCGACCACACCGTGGACTCGACTGAGAACAGACATGCATTCTTTGTCCCTGAGGAGTAGTCACTGGAGGGCAGCCATTAAGGTCCCGATTTCTGGATTCGTGTTTTCTGCGGCTTTACCAACTGGCAACAGACCTCCACCGCAGTTGCTGTTCTCAGGGTCAGATCGCTTAATACAAGACCACGCACGTAGTTTCGTCAAGAAACCACTCGCGGAGAAGGATGCAGGTCTGATATATGCAATCGCCGTATCATTTGTTCACTTAACTCGGTAACACTGCGGCATACCGAAACAATGGCGTTCGAGGTGACAATGTAGATGGTTGAGCGTGTTGGTTTCTATTTTACGATAAGGAAAGAGGGACATTGAAGACAAACAGACAAGAATTAAGGTAGCGTGTTTCACTAGCTTTTTCCCGAGGTGAGAAGGAAGAGGTCGATTGACTTGGACCACCGTAAATATACTGCGCGACCAGACAAAGAAGCCCCATGAAAAAACGCTAAATAAGGCCGAAGGTGTGTTTAATGGCTTACCATTGGCCGTCTTTGATTGAATTAAGAACAAATAAAAGTGACCTGCAACAGTGTCGTTCGGTCTTTCGTTTAAATGGGAACTGAAGCGATTCTGTATTTGAGTAAAAACACTCAAATCGTCCTTTTTTGGCATCCAGGATTACGAATGTCGAGATTTTTTTTTTTTCAATTTGGTGCACGGAGGCTGCAGGAACTCATTTTCAGAGTACCGCTGAAGCCCCTCCTTCCCGGAGCGTGACGTCATAAAGGGAGGTTTCGCAATCTCCGCTTTCGCAGATCTTCAGCGCCTATTAAAGCTATGCACGGGCACTCTCGCTGTTTTCAAACAAGTCAGAAAGAGACGTCACTACTGGTGTCAGTGCGGGGAAATATACCCGTCAAGCTTGCAATGAACCTTTTGCTAAATTTTTCAAGCATCAAAAAGCGTGTTGGGACCGTAAATCCACGCGCTCCACGTTCGCCTTATACGCATTCGAAGTAAACAACCAAATTAAGACGTTGATGAACGCGCGTGCAAAGTGCCATTTGTGTTGAAGTTTTACTTTAGAACAGTTACTGCTGCTGAAGGCAGTACGCGCAGCGCGTGTAACTTCTTGGGCTTGGGATGGCTTGGGTAATTTAGCCACGTCACGCGAAGAAATGGAACTCTTCCATCGAAAGGTGACCAGTCATCTCCGCCACTCGCTGTCATAATCCTTGTTGTATAGACATTTTCCACAGGGGCGCCGCCATCTTGAATTGTCGTCACTTCCAGTATGGGCGACGACAAAATAATAAAACGTTTCAACCTGTAACTAGCAAAAAAATAGAGGGGAGCCAAAACGAAAATGGGTGACGGTTACGCTGTTCTCTTAAATGCATTCTATTGGCGTGGCGACGGCGAAACAATGTTTTCGCCCATACTGGAAGTGACGACAATTCAAGATGGCGGCGCCCCTGTGGAAAAGGTCTATAGGTACAGTCGGGGCGGGATGGGCGCGGGCGGCCGGTCGACGGTTCTCGGGGCGCCGCCGGCGCTGCGCTGGGGCTTGGAGCGCGCCGGGCTGGGGTCGGGCACATTCGAGTAGGATGTGTTCGGCCCTAGCTCGGCGGGTCCCGGGCTTCGGCGTGGCGCTGGGGGCCGTCAGCCTGCTGTTCGCGTTTCTTCCCGTTTCCGACTGTGCGTAGTGTTGTTGTTGTTATTGTTTATCTACCCCCCCCCCCCTTTTTTTTTATATCTATAGTTTGGGTGTTGCAGGCCATCTCGTATGAGCCTTCGGCCTTTCTGCCGCACCCCCGTCTCTCCTGAGTCGAAATAAATGAAATGAAATGAAAAGGTCTATTCCACGCGCTGCCCGGACAAGCGACACGCGCTTTGCGGCCGAAAGATCCTGGTATGACCGAACGACTGGTCGGAGGTTTTTCGTGTAGTCTAGCGTTTAGTTACATCTTCGGGGAAAACGAACGTGATATTCAGATTCGCGGGACAAAAATACGCTAGAATCAACCTCTATCTCATTCTTTTTAAGGAAGTGTTTCAGCTTACCTTTAAACAACGCAACACTGACTTGCGCCATTTTCACGCAAAGCGTATATTCGCTGCGTTATTTATTACCACTGTTACCATTACTGTTAGTAAAGTGGCGGGTCCTCCAGCACGCATGCTGGCTACCTTTCGTCGTGTAGCTTAGTGCGATTGCTGTGTGGAGAACTTCGGAGCACTTGCCACCGGCAGATGTTCCTTGGTTCTTTGCAAGCGCTAAACTACCTCACCCACATCAATAGACCTTCTTCGACTCGATGGGTACTTGAGACGGAGGATAAACCAAAGGTGCGCGTTAACAATCTTCACCTTGTTGGCGACTGGCCAAACGCTGACTATGCCGTCTTGAGTATGACGCATTCTACTTACATGAATGGAAATAAGTGAAAAATCAGGCTGTCAACTTTGACGGTGTTGATTTAGGAACGCGATGATTACACGCTTCCACCGTGCTTTTACAACAGTAAATGTTAATGCCCCTCTCGACACACACAAAGAAAAAGCTTATGTACAAGCGAAAAACCCTATTCTACAGCAGAGGCACTGCTCTCCTTTTTTCAGTCGTTCGCCACACACGACAAGGCTCTCTCTCTCGCTCCTCCTCCCTCTCCTCCTCCCCCCCTTTCCCTCCCCCCTCCGGCAGCCGCCGTTGCGAAATACCCTCGCGGTCGCGCAGTGCGTACACGCTCTCTCGCCTCCCTGCTGCCGCCGCCCAAGTTCCCTTCACGTTCTCGTACGCTCTGCGTGCCTCCACGGAACAGCTCGCGCGCACAATCCCGGCCGCCCCCGTTCTAGAAAAGCGTAGCAAAACTCCCCCCCACACACACGCACACACATCGGTGTTGTTTTTTTTACAACACGTGCAACATAGAGCGTAATCGTTCCACCGAAACATACATCTCACACATGTCTCCCACATCAATTCGAACTGAAAGCAAATAAACAGTGGTGTCGGTAACGCGTTACAAGTAACGGTGTTACTTACTTTTTTCGGTAACATTGTAACGTGCTCATTACGTTTTCTAAACAGTAACGGGTAACATAGTTACGTTACTCTCTACATATATACTTCCAAAGATTAAAAAAAAAATTACACTTCAATTTTTTTTGTGTGTTTCCAGGCCCTAGGCCATATATATATATATATATATATATATTTGCGTTTCTTTTGCGCTTTTCTTGGGGGTATTTAGGTGGAACCGTAAAAGAAACAGAGATAAGGTAATGATGTTCAGTTTCTGGATGAACATAACGTTTCTTGAAATATGGCGGTGTTGCATATTTGTAACTTCAAAGAAGTAACGCAAGAATAACGTCCGTTACTTTTTAACGGTGACGCGTTCCTTTTATACTGAGGTCACGTAGGTCGGTAACGCGTTCCTTTTATTAGGGAGTTTTCGTAGATCGTTTTCGCCGTCCCGCAAGGCCCTCCGCAACCCGCTGCGATAGCGAGAACACA